TAGCTCCTCTCTTGTTTAGAACCTAGAGACAAGAAAATGTCTGAGGCCCCTAGACACTAGACATACTGCTTCTTTGAATATAGATAGATAGATAGATAGATAGATAGATAGATAGATAGATAGATAGATGTAGATATATATATATATTCAAAACACTATGTCCTATTTGAGGGGAAAAGGACTGGAAAATAATCTGCTTAGGGACTTGCCTGGTGGCCCAGCAGTTAAGACTTTAGGCTTCCACTGCAGGACATGACTCAGGTTTGATCCCTGGTTGGGGAACTAAGATCCCACATGCCACATGGAGGGGGGAACACAGACACACACACACAATTGCTTAGCTACCAGGAGAAATCTAACAGTCAGGATGGGGAAAAGACAGATTAGAGTGTAAGGAAGGAAGTTCCGTGAGAACAAATAGAAGTCACCATGATAGACATGGAAGAAGCACAAATCAGTGCTCAAACATGGTTCTCTGCACAAAAGATCAGGAGGATACAAGACCTGGTCTTATGGTAATCTTATTTGCTTTTCATTTTAGTAGAAAATGACTTGATACTCTACATCAAATATGGGAAAGGAGTGTTTTGTATGGGCTGGGCCTCTCTTCAGAAAATGAGTTCTGTTTTTTAAAAATATGATTAACACTGTCGACCCAGGGAAGAGTTGGGCGTTCCTACCTGGGGAGGCAAGTTGAATTTAGAATTTGCAAGCAGACTAACAAAATTTACAGAAATAGCACACAACCCCTGATTAAAAAGTACACCTGATGGACTCCAGAGAGACTGGTATGTTATCAGCCTCAACCATCACTTCTTCCTGTTACAACCTTAGCCTGAGTCTTTGTCAGTTCAATGCTCATTAAATATCACAAAGGAAAGCACCTAAGTAATCTATACTTTCTAAAAGACAGCTCTGTTGACTTAAAATGTGATATGGTATTAGAAAGCCACCACAATCCAGAGTCTAGAACCTAAATAGACTTGTATTCTGAAAATCTTGTTGAGTAACGTTTGCCAAATTCTACCATAGGGGTCAGCACAGCACATGGAAAGAAAAGGTGTTTTTTTAATTAGGCAGATCTGACTTAAAATCTCTCACCACTTACACAGTGAAATTTTCGGGTGCTGGCCTCTCTGCCAGCTTGGCTTACTTAACTGTCATAGGAACTTGCATACAATATGAACATAATAAACACCAATTCTTGACTGCTACTACCCTTGACTTTTAACATTATGAAAATCTGGAATTTCTAACTTATATTATGGATATAGGGTCCCATTAGAATAAATCTTTGGTGACTAGGCAGAAAATAGATTGTCCTAGGAGTTTTGACAGTTTCCACTATGGTTCAAAAGGTCAATGCAATGAAGCACCAAAAATGGCTTTCCTCATTAATATCATATTTGTATATATACAGCATGTTCAGGTATGACAAAAAAGTAAGTCTAGTGGTCCAAAGCTTATGTTTAAGAAGCTGCCCTCCCACACACACAAAAAACATTTGAAAGATACACTGGGTAAAACTATAATGGAATTTTTACAATAACTATTATATCTCTACTCTTCTCTGAAGTCATGGTTTAAGAAGATTTAAAAGAAACCGTGGCTTAGGGTAATATCTGTGAAAGTGTCTTGTGTTTATAATGATCAATAGTTTAAAGTGTCATGTTTATAATAATCAGTAATTAAGAGCTGCTCAAAAAAATAATTTTGCAATATGAGTTTTCCCCTATTTACTATATTTAAAGGATTTATACACATGGGTGACTGATATTTTCTTTTGAAGCAACATAGTACTAGTACATTTTAAAATGTTGTTGAAAAAAAAAAGTGTTGTTGGGAATGATCTTGAAGAAGTGTTTCAAGAACAAACAAAACAGGAAACAGGCTAATTTCAGAGTGACATCCTACTTTGTAGAAGGGCACCTCTGTCTCAGCAATCAAATAGTTTTGTATTTTTCTTGCCATGTTTATGAAGGCAAATGACCCACAAATGAACAGCGTATCGAAAACGTGTGACACACACTCACAGCTGGCCTACCGCTGCCACTCCTGTGGCCCTGTGTGTGCAACACGATGATTTGTACTCACAGCTCAAGAGTTACAAGAGGAAACAGACTTGAGTTCAGTACTATCTGTATAAGACATATATAAGGTTCTATTTACAGTTTTATCTTGAAGGGAAGGGAAAGATAAAGCGCCCATCAAACCTGGGTGCTGCAAGTTTTCCTACTGAACATTATGATGACTTCTCCTTTAGGACAATGGTATGTTTCGTCTAGCTGCGTTTCTAGTTTTATATTTAAAATGCAGCAGAACTCATTGATAGCTTTGCATTGTTGAGAAAGGCTTAGCTGTGATTAAACTTTTTTCTTAAATAAGATAATGCAATTAAATACTAAACCCCTCTTCCTCTAACTGAATCCTCAGAAGGTGATATACATAAACTCCCTCTTTTAAGATAGTAACCTTGAGGAAGAGAGATCCAGAGATGAGGACATGAACAGAGCAAACTGCACTCTGAAAGATCTGACCTTACCAGTGAGGTGGGGCTGCGCTAGTAGTGTTCAAGCCAAAGCCCCACGCCAACACCTTGAGACAGGGGTGGTAAAGAGGGATGAAAACCACCAACTGAAGCCAGTTCCTTCTTAGATCAAACCTACTAAATAAAATGTAAACCTGCAGACAAGCTAGGGAAATTAGGGATAAACATATTTTAGAAAGAGCTTAAAATTCACAAGATGAAGTAAAAATGATATAGCAATGTCTATAGCATTTAAGTGTCTAAGCTATTTCATTGCTGGTCAAGTCAGGTTAAAGAGGATGATGTTAAATCTGTTTGCATATTGTTTATGGGCAAAATAAAATTTAAAAGTAAGCAAGTAAGAGTATGAGGATAAAGTACTTCAGTCAATATTTATTTTTAATATCTGTAAAATAAGTATGATATTATTTGAGTTAAAATGCTCCTTTCCAAAGATGTGCTTAACTCACAGTCTATTCTATATGGATATTCATGATTTTTACCTAATTTTTAAATAATAAAGAACCAGAAAGCATGCAAACATAAAGATCTATAAGCAAAGAAGCCTGAGGGGAAAAACAGGATAGAAGTTATGCTACATACCTCATTCATTCTGAGTATAATTCTTCTTACTTTCTCTCCTCTTTATATAGACCATTATATAGCAACACTGCCTAAAATATTGATTAAGATAAATTCTAACTCCAGCAAAATGCACATGATGTCTTATTGAATTTCCTGTAAATTCAATAGCACCAAAATATAGAGAAAATAAAATTCAATGCAGAAGAGAAGTCAGCACTTTGTTGACGTAGGAGCTAGTAAATAAGACCAAGATACGTAAAGAAAACTTCTATTTTCAACTTTGGGTGTGTGTGTATTTGGTCTTTACAACTTAATTTTTATTACAGAAACCTTTAAACATACTTTGTAAACTATGTAGAATAGCCACAAACTCCATGTCCCTGTAAACCAGCTTCAACAATTAGCCACTCATGGCCAATCTATACCCTCCTCCTTTTTCTTCCCTTTGGTATTATTTTGAAGCAAAGCCCAAGCACTGTATCATTTCATTTTTACTATAATTTGATGGGGGAAGGGGAATATAACAGAAAGACTGGGAAGTGAGAGAAATGCTGCTTTCTTTCCACAGTCCCTGCCCACAATTTTAAGTGATATACCCAGGAAATAAGCCCATATGCCACGGCAAAGAACTGGCACTGGTAATTCCATATGTACTGCAGCTTCCCAAACACTTGCCCCTTCCCCCTCAGATAGCAGCTCCCTGCCTATCCAGCAAGGATAACTCTGGGAAGCAGTGATAGTTGTGTAAGAGTGTATCCAGTCTCTAACTCTGGCACAGCCTCCAAGGACTGTATAAAATGGAATTGTTTTTCTCAGCACCAGATTAGTTATTAAGTCCCTGAATTGACAGGATTCCTCCAGTTTAGACAGGAGTCTAAATGTCTACCTTTTGAAACATGTCTATGACTAATTTCATGAGCTATCACCAACGAAGTGGGATAAGGAGGCAGATACAACAGAGCTATCTCCCAGGAAAGGAACAGGGAAAGGAAAACTATAAGCAAGGGAAACAGTGGCAGAAAATTGACAGAAAGTTGGGAATCTAACTGTATCTTCATATTATCTCCTATTTTTCACAGTCAAATGCCAGCCAAAATGGTGTGGTTACCCTATGGTTAGTATTCAAACTGTGTGGAGAAGCAAATGGAGAGCTCCACTAACATGGAGTCAGGAAAAAACCCAATTCCTCTGGGGTTCCGACATGATTTCATTTTAATAAAATAACCAGAAAAAGAAGAGTAGTGAAGATAGCACCATACATTCCTATTGTTTTATAATGCAGAAAACACATTTCGTAATCTTAAACACGTTGATGTCTAGAGTATTTTAACTTTTGAAAATACTCAGATTACCTCAATAACCAAATACTAATACTCAAACAGCAATTTCACCTTGTTTACGTAACAAAGAGAAACCTGTTTACAAAGAATATACCTTAATAATCACCATAATAAGAAAACTAATTTGAGGTAACTTCTGGTAACTTGTGCCATGGGCTAAGGTCTGTGAGTACCCAGCCCATCAGACCAGCTGCACTTGGTAAATGAGATCCTTCACTACTTGATCTACACAAATCGTGTTTCACTCCAACCCTCTCCACTGCACACAACCTATTAACCCCTGTCCCAGGGACAAAACTGATGATGAGATTTGGTATTAATTATTTTTCATAGTAATAGGAGCCTTCTCTCCATTTAATAATACTGTCCCATTACCAGGATTTCTAATATCTTCTGTTAAAAAAAAGAAAAAAGAAAACTGGTTCATTTTATTACTACACAACTGAAGATGAATTTTGCAATGATACAAAGACTGTGAGGCAAATTTCGCCAAAATTAACACAGATATGTAAAACGTCTCAGGTGGAGAGCAGACTAAAGGTACTCACTTTTGTTGTCTTTGTATAGAACGGGGAGGAGAGTTGGTGAATAGGCAGGTCCACGATACTATTAGAGTTTGTGACACTGTTACTGTGTGTGTGTTCATCTTCCCTGCTGCTGTCGTCAGACTGATCAAAATCATCACTCTCCTGGTCCATTTCCTCTTCCTCTTCATCCTCCTCATCTTGTTCACCAGCATGTTCTTCGTCTTCCTCTTGTTCTTCCTGGTTTCCGGAGGAGTCCTCATCTACCGAAATAAACCGGTTGTTGTTCTCTTCCAGCGGTCCTTGCTGGGAATCGCTTTGGTCTCCAGGCCTAGGTTCTGCTCCAACGACTTCACCATTCCTCACCGCGTGCTCCGCCTCTTGGTGTCTGAGCTGCGGCTGCGGCTCCTCCTCCAGCACACGGTTCATCTGCTCCTCATCTGCCTGGCTTGAGGAAGGGTTCCCTCTCAGAGAGCCTCCAGTGCGTCGTCTTTTGCTGCCCACAGAGAGCAGTTCCTGATTCATTTCCAAAAGCCAGCTTGCTACTTCTTGGACCTTGGCTAGGCTATCAGAAGATGCAAAGGTTTTCACATTCTGTAAAGAAAAATGAGAGGGGGGAAGAAAGGTTTTTACAATCTACATTATCTTCTACTTTTATATGTCTATACTCCAAATTTTAATACAGGTTGTAAAAAGTATTAGATGCCAATGCAGACATTAGATGTTCTTTTGAAACCAATAGAAACTTTAAATTATAAAAGTTACAAGACTTTATAAAGACACACAAAAATCATATAGTAAATAGCTTTATTTTTTATATCTCCTTTTAAAAATAATTTTAGAACAAAGGTTTATAGTTTATTTGCTTTGACCAACACAACACAATCTAACCAACAAAATATTCTTAAATTTTAGATCAGTAGATCATAAACTATACCCTTCACCAAACTTCCACAAAATGTTAAAAAGTATATCACAAAAAACCTATTCAATGCTCAGTTAAGTACAGGAAATGCTGAGATAAACCAAGATTAAAAGGCTTTTTTTTTAACCTTAGGAATTTCCCAAACTTTTCTGATCACACAAGTTTGCCTTTAGATAGTTTTGTGAGTTACCAAATATAATCACTATGATTTTTGTTTTTCATAATGAATATAAATCAACCAGACATCAAATAAATTAAAAAGTTTATTTCAAAGAAAAGAAAAGAAAAAAAAAAATCATTAAGTTCATACCCTCTGACCCAGTCACTCCACTTCTGGCAATCTATCCTAAGGAAGTATTCCTAAAACAGAAAAAAAAAGTGATGCAGAGGATACTCACTGCAGCTTTATCCAAAAAAACAAAAAATAAAATTAAATGCAAATTAAAATAATCAAAACCCAAATGTTCAAGACAAAGGAGCCCATGAGATGGGATATATTTTGTATATCTAAACTAAATACATCTAAACATGCTGCGCATAAAAAAATTTGTGAAAACATGGATGCTAAGGGCAAAATGCAGGACATTATACAATCATAGAATGATTTTTAAACTGCATAATGACTAGATTGAAAACAATATTTCAAAATACAAACTGCATTTAGGCAGTGGTATATAGGAGCTTTAACTCAATTTTTACTGTATTTCTCAAATTTTATGTATCAAGCATGTTTACTTTTATGCTTTTAACAGTGGCTTTAAAATTTGATCTGATATAGAATCTTTTCATAATGCTCCTTCTTAGATTTCATCCTTTGCAAATATCTGTATAGACATAATTGAGCTTACAAAAAATAATGCCAACACATTACACAAGTTCATATAAAATTCCTTTAAAAAATATCTTTAAGAATTTTAAGAGAAGGAAATCCAACATTCATTTTCTATCATGCCCCAAGAGTAACTACTTTATGTTACAATGATCTTGAAATAAAACAGCCTTATCCACTTTCCCAATCCTTGCCAACAGATGGTCTCCCCCAAAGGTCCACAGGTCTCACTGCAAGCTTTAAGACGGGGTCAAGAGAGTCCAAAAAAAAGTTTTAAAACAGCAGTTATTTCATTTTCTTTTCTATAATCAACCATTCTAAGAAATAAGGTACAGTGGGGGAGGGGGTTTCTTAAATTCTAATTACACTAGAAGTTCAAATATAGAAAGAGTTTTAAAGATGGACCCCTGAGACACTCCATCATCCTAAAAGAAGAGGAGTAGGCAGCAAAGATGACTAAGTAGGAAAACCAAGAAAGAGTGGTACTGGTGAAGCCAAGTTAAGAAAGCTTACCCAGCAGGAGAAAGTAAATGATGACAAGTATGGCTGATAGACAAGTAGGATGAAGACAAAGAACTGACCACTGCATTCAGTAACATGGAAGTCACTACTATAGAAGCAGTTTCTATTAGTTGAAGTCTGATACTGATAAAAGTAGAATTAAGAGACTGGGAAAAGAGAATAGGGATGGTGGGTGTGGACAAGGTTGGAGTTTGATGTAAAAGGGAATAAAAGAAAGGGAGTGGAAATTGGTATGGAAAATAGTGTCAAGAGAAGATTTTTTTGTTCTTTAAGACTAGAGAACTAGCAGAATATCTATACACTGACAAGAATGATCCAGCACAAAACGAAAAAAGTTGATCATGTAATCAAGATTCAGTGAAATTATATGCATAATAATTAAAATGGGATGATGAGAAAGAGTTCAAAAGTTAGAAAAAGGTATAATTTTTAAAAAGGATACTACATTCATGGTGATAGATGGAAAAGCAAAATAGTATTAAATAAATACTTTAAATTTATCTCTTTCACAATATTTCTTAATGTGGGAACAGTTGGAAGGAAGTCAGCTTAAAAATAACATATTGAAAAACAGTGACCTACATAAATGAAAAATACACACACACATACACATGCATGCACGCATGCAGTACCTCTATGTCTCTAACAGTAAATCTGCCATACACAGGTTTTCTTCAAAGCTAGAATCAAATTCTTGCTTTAGTAACTGTGTCTAAAGTTTAGCTGCCCTAACACTAACAAACATTTTTCACTTGGATACTGAGGCACAGAGCAGCATGAAGAAAGCGACACTGCCTGGTATAATGCAAGCTCCAAACATTAGTTGCTCTTTGTGTACCCAACCCAACAGGCATGTTTTTACAAGATTGAAACAGGTTAAATGACATATTAAGAAAAACTTACCAAAATAAAAAAAAAAGAGAGAGAGAGAGAGAACAATGGTCATAAAACAAATCATAAAGAATGTGTGTGAAGAAGAGAGGAGGCTGTTGGTAAGCAGTTGACCTATCAACAAACAGAAAGTTTATAACTGGCATTTCGAAAATAGTATCAGTATTGGTCAACAAAGAACACTTCTCAGTTATGAACAACAACAACACAAATGACTATCGTTGTATAATTTGAGTGTTTTATTGAGGAGAACAGAGAAGAAATGTGTTAAGCCAGTAAAAATAACTGACTCATATTTACAGTGAGGCATGTAAACAGATTTCAAAGTAATACAGGTTCTTATAGATAGACCTGGTCAATAATGGTAAATTCAAGTAGAAGAATCAGATTTAAAGCACAGTCAATAAAAAAATATGTAATAACAAAGTGGAAAGTCAAATTACAAGAATTCTAGAATATCTGAAGAGGCTGAAAATATCCAATTGATAGATTTTCAGGAAATTTGTTCTTTCTAATAATAATCTATCAAATAAGTCAATGACCAAATAAATAATATTCAATAATTAATAGGAAATCAGAATTAACTATTAAATACTTTTAAGGGGGAAAAATTTTAAAGATAGTTAAAATCATTTATTAAAACAAAACAAAACTTAAGCACCCATAATCTAAAACTTGAAAACTGCCATACAGGAAATGTTCATAAATGGGGTATTAATAAAAGCACATTTTTGCTTTTCAAAATTCTAATTTTAAACTTTTTTAGAGAAAACTTTCTGTATGATTTAGGACACTTGTGTCATATATAACACAAACACCAATAAACAGAATCCTATGCCCTAAAAAAAAAAAATTATGTAAACTTTAAGAGTGTTCTTTTATTTCTGAATCTTACCAGTATATGATGTCAAGATATATCAAATATATGCCTTACATTTTTACCAATAACCAGTGAGACTGAACTTGAGGTCGATAAAACAAACTCTGATGGCTAATATATTTTGACATTAAATTCCATGATTTTTTGACAACTGAGCATGATGAGACTAGAAATGATTTAAGGTCAAGAATAATACTGATAAAAGAAAATCATAGAGATTTTAAAATGAAAACGCTCTTCACTTCACAGACAAAGTGAGAGTTTAAAGAGATTACGTATTTTTCAAGTTTGCTAGCTTCAAGCTAGCAAAGAGCAAAGCAGGAACCATAAAGTGACATTCAACTGGGTTTTCCTTCATGTGCCTCAGTCTATATAACTAAATATGCCAAAGTCCTCACACTGACACTGACCTCTTCTCCAAAACCAGAATCACTACAATGCTAGATTATTACTCTAACACACTCACTGAGCACCCAATATATATATTTCAGGCACATATTAATTTTCTAGAGCATGTGTGCTCAGTCATGTCCAACTCTGCAACTCCATGGATTGTAGTCTGCCAGGTTCCTCTGTCCAGGGAATTTTCCAGTCAAGAATACTGGAGTGGGTTGTCATTACCTTCTCCAGGGTATCTTCCCAACCCAGGGACTGAATGTGCATCTCTTGCGTCTTCTGCATTGGCAGGTGGAATCTTTACCACTGAGCGACCTGGAAAGCCCCTAATTTTCTAGAGGATAATGTTTAGAAATGTTAATCAATGACTTTTAACCTGAACCTATGGTAAAATTAAATTTTACAATACAACTCTTTATGCATGTATTTAAACAAATCTCAAACAATGGTTTCAGAGAGAAGGAACAATGAAATGGTTATACCTAAAGTCTCTATAAATCACTGTGCTTAATTAAATTTCATTATTCACAGTAATCGTGTTCTATAAAGTTGCCATAAATACCAAACAAGTGTTTCTAACAGAAATACAGGATTAAGTTCCTGCAAGACTCTAGTCACATTTTTGCCAACTGATCAATACATAATCTTTTCATATGTGTATTTCTATTTAAAGACATGCTATTTATTAATAATATATAATAGATTCATTAACACTGAAGTCAGTCAACAGGACTATAAACTCAAGTCTGAATGAAGCTTATCTGACATGTATGCTCTCCATAAGGCACATCACACCAGGCAGCCCCTCAAAGCAGCTTAGGGATTGTTTTAAACAGCACAATCACCAAAATCAAGCACAACAAGCTTTTAGTGAAAAATATTTCACTAAACAGACCATGAAATGGACACTTGTTTAGAATATGAAAGCTGAAACAAGAAAGCAGAATGTCACCTTGTTCAATCTTAGATGGGAAAGTCCGTGAAGGTGACTCAAATTTATTTTGCCACTCTGTGCATGCAAACATCTACAAAGTAGATGAATTTTGGTACTACAAGTACTGGATTTTGGTGCTACAGATAAAGTTTAACGAGTAGGCAAATTCACAAATGAAGAACCTTCAAATAATGAGGCTGGATTTACCTACTGTATC